TCCATCGAAACTCATGTTTAATGAAGTTTCCAGACCTGTTAATCTCATTCCTTTAGAGGACAGGTAAGCTAATGAATATTAGCTATCATGACCTCACCTTGTTCTTTAATCACATGATCTTGATCTCCGAGCTGCTGATATTTGTCTTGGAGCTTCTGACCTTATTCTTTAATTACATGATTTTGTTCTTCGAACATCTTCTACAACCCTCAACTTTTTTAGCATTCTCTCATTTTTCATCATCCAATTGTCTTTGTAGAGTGCAATTTTTGGACGACCTTTTGTATTTGGGAATGTTCCAGTAGCATGTTGGAGTCACTCCCTTGCTGACCCCCACGCCCAGAATGCTCTTTGCTAAACGCAAGTGTAAGAGCATGTGTGCCATAATCAAGCTTTAGAGATCCACCATGAATCTCCTTTTCATAAATGACTTATCCACAACATATATCATTGATATGTTCGTAGAAGGAGGAATGTGGTCCAATAAAGTATGGACTCTTACAATTTCATTTGTCTTGTCTTTGATATCATCATTTTCATAATCTTCGTCTTTGGTTTGACGTGCCTTGCACCACATCAAAGAACAAAATGGAACTTTATCATCAGGAATTTTTTTATTTTTTTCCTAGTCATTATCAAATACACATCCTTGGTGTAAAACTTCAGTCTTGGATATTGGCTTATAAGAAAAAGATAAAGGGTAATGAAATCAACAATTTAAAAAGAGCATTACCAATTTTTCTCTGAGTTCCACGTGTCCAGATCATCCCAACCGATGTGGGTACTCCTGCTTTGCACGTGATATTTTTGTTGACTCAGATACACCCTTGGAACAAGAAAAAGATGAAATAATTATTGCAATATAAGAAAAAAAATAGAAATTCACAATAAATATAAAACTGATTGTGCATCGTATAACTTCGAATTGATTTGAAAGTGCGTTTTCGACAAATTTGTCCCAATCAATTTGATCCACGAACTTGTATTGTCTTGGTTTAACTTTCAATATTGAAGGTTTACTGATGTTGGGCAATATAAACTATTTGTACACAATGAATTTTATGGTTGGGTTGCCCTAAACGTCTTCTAAACATGACTCCATTTGGGTGATTGTCAACCGTTTGATGAAATCAACCCAAACTCTTCCTATCTAACAGACTTGGCCTATATCTAAATTGACTAAACTCTTCTAGCATGAAATTATTCGACTTCATGACACGCTAATTTCTATAACTTCTGATAGATATCAACATTTCACTTATCGATTTTGGGAAGGTATGCACAAAGCCTGAGGTACTCGATTAAATTTCAGTACAGTTTTCATACCATACAGAAGGTCAGTCTAAACGCACTATTAGACATTAGAAGATATGCTCTGAGCCTATGCTTTATAGTCGAATGGATGTTGGGATGATTATCTCTTTCTTATTGAATTCTCTTATAAAACAGTAGGCAATCAAGTATTGGCATGGCTCCCTATGAAGCATTGTACGACCGAAAATGCCGATCGCCGACTTGTTGGAATGAAGTTGGAGAAAAACTGATCGAAAGGTCCTGAGATTATTCAAGTTACGACTGAAAAATATTGAGGTAACCCGACAGAAAATGAAGGAAGCATAATCTCGATACAAGATTTTTGCAGATAAACACCGCTAACCTCTCAAATTTCGACCAGGTGACCACATATTCCTCAAAGTTTCACATTGATACCCATCCATATTCCTCAAATTTCGACCAGGTGACCACATATTCCTCAAATTTCGACCAGGTGACCACATATTCGTCAAATTTCGGATTATATATAAATGTGTGCAAATGATTAAGTTGTACCGTATGCATCATTGCATTGTACCTTAAAATACTTTAGAATTAAGAATACCATGTTGAGGGGCCAAAACTAGTCAACTGAAACTTAATACTAGACTTCAAATTTAAGCAAATTTATGGCTAGGGTAGATTTTGAAATTTTAGAAGTTTGAGGGGACCAAATTAAATAGTTCAAACTTGTTATTTTATGAAAATAAAAGAACAAATGGTTTATTTGTTCTTCATTTTCTAAATCGTGTATACACAGAGAGAGATGGAGAAATCATCCAATTTCTTGAAAAATTAAAGAAGATTAGTTGCGATATTGAAGTTTTGAAGTCAATAACACTGAGAATTAAAAGAGAAGAATGGGACCAACTCAGATACAGATTCAATCTTCTTAGATACAAGAATAACTTATTTATATGATCATTGCATTCATGAGATTCATTATGAATAAAAATATCCATAAAAGTGGGTATATTGGTTAGCCGGAACATTGTTTTCAATCCTTGATCAGTTTGTTTTAATTGTTGTGTTATAATTATTAAACAAGTTTTTCGACTTGTTTGTGATGTCCATTATGGGTTTAGCATGATAACCTTTATTCTTTTGGAACCGAACTTCTATTGGATTTGAGATTTACATTGTTTAATCCAATTGTTTGTTCCATGAACTTCTATGTGACATTCTGAAATTCAAATATGTTGAAATCAGAAACCTTTTTTGGCTTTGTGCTTTGATTTGATGAAATTGACTTCATTGCTTTAATTTTACTTTCCAAATACTGGATTTGGGGGCACCTTTGTCTGGGATGCTACCATAGTGGCTACAAAGACTATGGTGTCTTCAACGAATGGTACAAGCCACCTGAGGGTGTATCGATCGATCTTAGAACTAGTTCCAAAACTTGAGGTCATGGTTAAACCCACAGTGGGACTTAGACAGTGTGTGCTCGTACCCCTATTTCCCAACCGTCCGAATGGTTTCGCCAACCATTGGACGACGAGTCCTTGTTGCACGGAATGCAAATTTAAATGATTTGATACTTGGTTTTGGACTTTTGAGACTTAATTATTGACGTCTGTTTATTTGGACTTGAGATTGTTTCGAGTTAATTTTAGGATCATTTTGATTTCTGATTATTTATTCATTGAATATTTATATTTTAATCGACTTGATTTTAATATCTAATCATTATTTCCACTACGTTCAATTTTATTATTCTTGAAATTGTTGTTACTTTTGTTATCCATTCATTGATCGCGTCGCTCAATCATGTTCTCTTTTTCTTTTTTTGTGCACGGCAGGTATAAGACGTACACTCGATACTGGGCTAAAGTGAAGGGAGTGATGTTAGCGACTTTTTGGGAGAATCCTGCCTGTTGAGGATTTCTCTTTTGGTTATAAACTTGTAGCTACGTTAACCTTTTGGATTTACGTGTGTAATGTACATAATACTTGGCATGTTCTGTGTGTTTTCCGACCTCCTTTTGTGGATGAGGTTCTTTTGAATTTATGTATATGTGTGTGTGATGGAGGTTGTTCTAAATCACACGGGACGGGGTCGTTACATTTAATTTCCAACCAAATTGAGCTTAGAGACACCATTCTATTTGGATTGAAACTCATCCCAACTCCGCCCCATGCTTTCACCCATGACAAACAAATATATTATACAATGAACAAATAGCTATCAGTTCTCAACTCCAAACCAATTGGATTCAAATTTAGGAGCCATTTACCAAATGCTTATCCGGTAAATTTTAATATTATTATTTACTCAAATTGACGTCATATGTAACAATTTACCCGGTAAGTACTCACCATGGTAAGAGTCGTCGCCCTCACTTACCGGGTAAGACTTTTGGTCCTTGTCTCGGGGTAAGATTTTTGGTCTTTACCATATTCATGCGGTGGGGTAATGTTACTTGGTAAGCGGATAAGCGTTTGGTAAACGAAGTAACAATGGTAGCACCTTCTTCAAACACAGACTCTTTTGAAATGAACAAGTGGTTGATGGTTTGGGATGGAAGCTAGCTACACCATCAAGGACGTCGGAAAATTTACAGATAAAGTTAACACAACGGCACTGTCGTCTGGAAAGATTAAAACAACGGGGTATAATGCAATTAATTGGGTTGCAATTAAGAAATTTCAGAGCATATATAAAATCGTAGTGTATATGATCATAAGTAAGTGGAAATGCTTGCATAATATTTTATAACCATTGGAATTATCATCTAACCGTCTTATTTAAATCTTATCAACTGATTTGATACATTACTAGAAAACTGGACATCAATAGTCAATAATTTATTACGGATCAGCTACAAATCCAATTTTTTAGTTTCTACTCCCATTTTTGTGATGAATGTATAATCCATTGCTAATGCGTGGCAAAATATATACATATTTCCCTTGCTAATCCATGGTACATACGTTCCCTATCTAATCCGTAGCAAATATGTTTCCTCGTAATTCTTAGCAAATTCATCATTTTCCGTTGGATTTTTACTTGAAAAGAGAGAAATAATAAAACGTATAAACGTCTTTTTTGCTACGAGTGTGCTACGGGTCTTCCGTTGCTAATGTTAAGGTCCCATCATTAAATCCATAACAAAATATTTTTGCGACCAACTGATTAGCTACGACTTATTGTTACAAATTTGCTAGGGATGTGACTTTCAGCTACGGATTTGCCCGTCGTTGTTGCCTTGTTTCTTGTAGTGGTCTTCATCTTCACTACAAAACATGTTTCTACCGACAGATCAATCTGCTGGTATAGCCACCGACGGCCTATTACCGACGGAAACAAGCTATCTCAAAATGGCTCGCCGTCAATTAAGATCAACGGCGGCTCGGAGCAGCCAATAATCCATCAATGAAAGTTAGTTTCCTAGTAGTACTTGACTTTGGTTGATCAACTATATATAAGAGGCTGTTTGGCAGTTGCTAAATGGTTTGGTACAAAATGCTTAAGTACTTAGAATGATTAAGATAGTCTTATGATATATTACAAAATGAAATATGGTTGTTTGGTAATTGTTCAAAATGAAATTAGGGCTCTGAAGGGTTTAGGGAGGCTCAAGATGCAAAATCATTCGGAGAGTTTTAGAACCATTAAGAGACAAATTTCTTTTGTCAAACATGATTCACCTGTTAGCGATTTGGAGGCTGCCTCCTAACGAAACTATTAAGAAGTAAACAGACAACCCTAACATGAATATTGAAGATGAGGAGTTATACGTCCAACTGCTCCATGGAAGATCTTACAAATAGTCAATTTACAGAAAACACAAATGCCTACATAATCATGCAATTCCCACCATCATATGGTTGTGAATAGCCATTAGCTACAACCTCACATCCACAAGGAGGGAGAGGGTTGATCATTCTTACCAACTTCGGAAGTGGTGTCGATGATTTTTTATTCGGTCCAACACTTTCGATCTGTGCTATCATTCCCGTTTTTCTAACTCGAGTCGCAACACACACAGGATCAACATCACCAACTACAACCACGGTTCCTTTATCTCCGTCAAATGACACTTGATCGATTCCGATAAGTTTGGTGAGTGCAAGAAGTACACGAGTCTTGCACTTGTGACAATGGAAGTTTACTTTCAACACAATTTTCTGCATCATGATTAAGTTCATATCAATCGATAAAACGTTGAAGATAATAAAATGATATGATATACCAGTAAAAAAATTGAAACAGAAGGTTATAAGCGTACCTTTGTCATGTTGTAGCACTACCATGTGTGAATGCAGAAACATATCAGACACAAATAAACCTATATATATACACACATATATATTATAAGGATCAATTAGTATTGACTTTTGATTGGAAGACTTTAAACCTATTTCGTTTCTAGGAAAATTCCTCATTGGTGAAACCGCTGGACACAATGCGTTGAAGAATCCAACCCAATGTTTACGGTTTAAAAAATCTCAATCAGCCTAAGAAAAACCACCCAATCCAACCTAAGAAAAACTACAACCCAACCCAACCCAACCCAAACCATGAGTTGGTTGGGTTGGTCGGGTTGGTCGGGTTAAAACTTTGCTATATATATTGTTTTACAATCTATGCAAGTGTTTTTGTTTAAACGAAGTAAAATCAAAATGATAACATACAAAAAAGACTTAAACTCAAAAAAGAAAGTTGAAGGTTTATGTAAATAAGAAAGTAAAATTACGGTTGATATTGTAATATAATTTTAAATATAGCTAATTATGGATTGGTCTAATGTCTAATGTATATATGTTAGTCAAAGATTTAAAAATCATATTAAATCTGTAGTATAGAAGTGCATCGGGTTGGGTTGGGTTAAAAAAATCCTAACCCAGTAAATACGGGCTCACCTAATTTTGTATCAACTATGTGTCGGTTAGTTCAGGTAAAGTTTTTTTGGATTTTTCCGTATTGGGTTGGCCGTGTTGATCGATATTTTGAGCACCCACAGTGGAAAGAATCATGTGGACCATGATGCCAAGTTTATTTTAGGTATGGTTATCGGAAATCCTAGTTTATTTAAGTTGGTTATTACTTGTTAAACTAGTCATGTTTGATAAAAACTAGAGATATATACTGATCTAAAAAGAGCTTTAAAAAGCTTGCTCAATTATAATATATAACGGTCATAATTGGAACCAAAAACGGTAGAAAAAAAATCACGGAAGCTTTGAATAAAGGTCATCCGGTATGTTTAATACTCAATACGTATTGTATCCATTTCTTTTATACCTACAAACGCATGGAACCAAAAGTCGTTATGAAGTCTAGTTGGCATAAAGAAAGAGACAAAAGGGAATTGTATTATAAGTAAATGTCTATGTCCATAACGAAGGAGACGAAAGCTTTTAAGCCCTGCCATTGAGGGCTTTGGAAGGACCATGGAAAAATTAATATGTGGAAATTATAACTATCGTACAAAAGAAATAAATGTTGACACCGATGGTGTTTCGTGAAGTGGAGGAGGGGCGAACCTATGAAGACCTGAGAGAGAGATATGAAAGGTTGGGCCACGGCTCAATCGATTTTTGCAATGGAATATTTTAAGAGGTATGAAAGGTGCACATGCTAAATTTTAATGGGTGCTTGGGGATATCTAAAAACGTTAATTGAAATCAACCGAAGAAGTCCTATGAAATCAACCAAAGAAGCTAACAAATTCTTCAAACTATGGAATTCGGCTAAAAACACATCGAGTTGCTTACACCATACTTAGGGGCCATTTACCTAAATGCTAACAGGGTAAGCGCTTACCGTTAGGAGTCAACATTATAATTTATTGTACCGGGTAAGATTATAGTACATCAAAATGGTATCGTATGCAACAATTTACCCGGTAAGCACTTACCCGGGTAAGAGTCGTCACCCTCACTTAACGAGTAAGAGTCTTCATCTTTATCATTATTCTCACGGCCCCTTAGTCATGGGTCATGCGTCTTGCACAAAATCTCGATTCTATTTGGAAAAATTTCATCTCTAAATCGAAATAATTGACTTTTTCACTGGATTAGATTTCACGAACCTTAAAGATACACCCGTTCTAAAAAAATCTTGGATCCACCAAACCGATAGGCAAATTCCGTGGATCTCAAAGTAACGTTGACCCATAAATGGATGAACTTGTAGAGCGGGGAGAATCATGAGTCCTTGATCGGGGAACTACTTGAGGGGTCTATGGTTGAGATTAAAAGGATCCTTGATGATGATGAGGGCATATGCTTATAACGGGAGAAGTCGGAAACTTAAGAAATTTTAGGAAATCTAGAAAGTAATTAAAGATAGATATACAAACTCTTTAAATTGTGAGATCTCTAAGAACTAATGTATCATGTATGATTTTTTTCATCTATGACCAAAGTTCAATGTAGTGAATAACGTATATTTGATTCACAATTTGTGTGTTTCACATGTACTCAATTCATAATATGAATCATTTGACGTGTTTGTGAAACAAAAAATACACGTAAAAGAGTTTTACATTGTAAATCGAATACATATGAATTAAACACATTGTAACACAAATATATGTAACCAATATATTAAATACAATACTTAGATTAATAAAAATCATGTGAAACAAAACCTTAATGTATCATTTCTCACGGATCTTAGAAATTAATTTTAAAGTTCTCAAATGATCAATTAAAAACACACACATACATACATACATACATACATATATATATATATATATATATACATACATATATATATATATATAGAGAGAGAGAGAGAGAGAGAGGTACATGTTTAGGGGAAAACCCTAAATAAATGGTAAATTAGAAAACCACAAAAAAAGAGGATGAATAAAGTATATCAATATGGTTGCAAATTAACGAGAAAAATATGATCGTTTTTAGAGTAATTTATTTGGTTCGAATTATGTTTATTTTTATCTTTTTTCGAATAAAACATCGGGCTGAGATTTTTTAATTTAACAAATGTTGTGGTAAACGCTAGTCTAATTACATCCATTTGATTATCTAGCGTAACGGTTGATAAGTTGTTTTCTAGTTTTCATTTATCTAGAGTTTTCCCCTGAACATCGACCTATATACATCATTTGGGATTAAAAAAAATAAAAGTCGCATGATATTGTGTCAATCAATCTTTTTTTCGTTTTCAAATGTCCATATTTCAAGGCTCTCGAAGAATGATGCAAATTCATTAGAGGTTGTTTTCTCATAGGATGAAATCCAGGAAGCAGCCAAGTCTTGCGGTAGCTCCAACGCCCCGTGGTCAGATGGGTTCAACTTCAACTTTATCAAAAGATTTTGTAGCACTATCAAAGATGATCTTATGAAAGCCATCAATTGGTTTTATGCTACGGGTTCAATTAGTAAAGTTGTGATACATCTTTTGTCACTTTGTTTCCCAAAAACACTGGCCCTTGAGTGCAAGGCTACAAACCTATTATCCTTCTCGGTTGTTATTATAAAATTGCAAAAGATCTGGTGGAACGATGTAAGAAGATAATTTCTAAGGTTATCGGTGATGCTCAAAATTAATGATTTCGTCAAACGTGGATTTATTCTTGATGGAGTTGTGATAACCAATGAAATGGTTGAATTCATTAAAGTCTTAAGAGGAAGTTTTTTTGTGTTTAAAGTTGATTTCGGAAAATTGTTTAACAGCCTAAATTAAAATTCCCTAATAAACCTAATGCGTCAATGGGATTTGAGATGAAGTGGTTAAATTAGATAGAAGAGTGTCTTCGTTCGGCCTCCATTTCCTTACTCATCAATGGGCTCTCCTACAAAAGATTTTTCCTTGATGAAAGGAGTCAGGCAAGTGGATCTTCAATCCCCGTTCCTCTGCATAATCTTTTCGTGTCTATGCATCATGTCTTCCTCTTCTCTTCTTGTCTTTGATATTATTTCTCCCCCTCATTATGATTAAAAGAAACTTAAACATCATGAATAATCAAAGACTTTAAACAAATTAGCTTTATATTATTCTCAAACATCGTCACACAACCTTGATTCTCCCCCTTAGAAAGATATCTCTATCAGAACAAATTTCTCCCCCTTAAAAATAGATCTTTTACATCACAAAGCAATATCTCCACCTTGAAAATTAGGTATTCATCGAACATAGAAGCACATTTAGCAACTATTATCACAACAATTAAAATAATTGTGTGACCTATGTTTAAAATTGGCATTGATTTGTCTTTGATAAGACTTCCAGTTATGATTGAAGTAATGTTATAGAACTAAATTCTCAAACTGTTTTGGCGATATCACAAAGACATGAAATGTGAATCGCTAAGACTCGTGAATATGAAAGTGTAAAAAAGAAATATTATCATTAAAGCTCAAGATAGATTCAATGTGCATGATTGAAGTGCGAAGATGGGGCAAACTTTCTTATTTTTCAATATCCAAGTTTTTCAAATGAAAAATAGATAGATTATGTGTTGCTTTCCCGGGAAAAATTGAAACATTTCTTTGTTAAGAAAAAAAATGAGTAGCTGGTAGGGTTAAATCAAGTATTGGCATAGGTTCACTGTCTGTTTCAATGATGGTCATGAAAGAATTACGAACCAACAGTAATGTGATTGCCCAACTTGAAGTGGTTAGGGAAGAATTTTCTTTTCTTTTAGCTTTGTTCTCTCACCCTCTGTTTTTAATAAAAATCCTCACTTCTAACCAAATTCTCATTTACATTTTTCCGCTCAATACAATGAGATTTCTCAACCGTATGAGTTATCTCCCCAACTCTTTTATTTAAAACCCCTCACCTCCTAGTGGGCGAAACTACCGGTTCTGATAGCTCATTGAAGCACAATTAATCTCACACATTGATTTTATGAAATACATCCTATAAGTTCAAAGATATTATACTTTGAAATTTTTTAGAAATTAATATACGAAGTACGAGTCCTCAACTGATATGTTTAGAAATCAAAACGTTGAAATCCGAGTTCTAGTTTGATTTATCTATAAGTCTAGACATGAAAATCGAGTTTTAAAAAGATGCTTTCATGATTAGAAGAGTAATGAACAAATTCAAACGATAAACAGAATGACTAAGTAAGCACAGTGTTTCAAACAAATATTTAATGTTTAATTGTGAAGAACAAGTCACAATTGATATTTCATATAAGAATTGAATCATTTATGTTAAATGACGCACAATGAAAATAATTAAGATTTCAAGCGATTGTATTTCCACCGAAAATTTCAATGAATATATGAGACGTGGAAATAACAAATTCAAGAAAATTTAACACATAGCAATTCAAGGATTGATTTATAACCGGAAAAG